AAAAGTCTCTGTGTGTAAAAGTCTCTGTGTGTAAAAGTCTCTGTGTGCAAAAGCGTCTGTGTGTAAAAGCGTCTGTGTGTAAAAGTCTCTGTGTGTAAAAGTCTCTGTGTGTAAAAGTCTCTGTGTGCAAAAGCGTCTGTCTGTAAAAAGTTCTGTGTATGAAAAACTTTACAAAAATACGATGGGAACTATTGTCTTGTACTAGTCATATATTGTCTTGATACTACTCTTCTCGTCTGCCTATAATACATCTTAATATATTATCTTGTAATATAGTTTCTCCATACTAACAACAGAAGACTCTGCTCCTCTACGCTCTCGGGCCATCCGTCGTCTAGTTTGAATTTAGGTTCTGAGATTTGAGAAACAGTTTCAGAGCATTTTGGATGAAATTATGGGTAGAAACGGTAGAAACGGTTTCTGGCACCATCCGTAAGCTATTTCGGGGCGTTCCTCCATGGTTTACGATTTTTTTCCCACAGGACAGCCAGAAAGAGCTGAGTACAAAGTCCCAACAGCAAATCAACAATACTTTTATCCGCTTGAACACGCACGCGGGGCCCAGCCCACAAATACGCAGCTGCCAGGACATCCCAAGATGTCCCTTCAATCCCCCTTTACCTTTCCCACAGAAGTTTAAGCAAGGCCAAAAGTTATTTTGAACTGCGTTGAAACTTGAAACTTTGGCAATTACTTAAATAAAGTATTGACTACCGAATTGTGGTCACATCTCTAGACTTTCTTGACTTCTATGGGACTATGCTGTCTATGTTTGATTTTCTTGCTGATATTGAAAAAAGATAATCATTTCATGAGGCTATAAACCAGACAGGCACCAAACAGGTAGCCACCGTTTCTACCGTTCCGCGCTATTATGCTTTAAAAACGCAACAGGTTAGAACCTGATTGAAACCGTTTCTGGAACCTGTTTGTAGCCATAACAGCCATAACAGCTAGAAACCGCCGGAACCGTATCTACCTGTTTTGAAAACACACATAACTTTTATACTTTTGACATTATAGTAAAATGGTAATGGCTTCGAGGTTACTTAAAATAGGATATCAACTGTTGAATACGGTTCAATGGTAAAGTTGTAAGTTAAGAGTGTTGAGTTGCAAACTGTGAAGTAAAAAGTGAACATATAACTTACTTACATGTTTTAACGTGTTTTTTCAGTTTTCTTAGTTGGCATTTTACTTTATATTTATGTTTTGAAATAAGCGACATGTCACTAATAATGTTTTTGTTTTTTTTGGTTAAGTGTTTTTTGTACTAGTAGGTTATTCACTTAACTCGTTCATTAACCAACAAGTTTTTATCTTCATATGAATCATGTCCCCATTGGTATGTTACGGCATATTCAGAAGTCAAGTTCTCATGGCTCCTGTGGCCATTATGATCTAAATAAAGCGTTATCAGACATCAAAGCAATCCAATCACTAGTTTTCAGCGCCTATTTGCTGCCTATCTGAATCTGCTTCACTGAAAAGTATGATTATACAGAATATACAGATCAATGCAGCGCAGCATCCCATCATGCCGTATTGATGGTATGCAGTATGCTGGTACATATCATGTCATATAACGAGGTTAATGCAATTCGCAACACCATTCTATCCACACAGTTATGTGGCAAACAGCTCACGGTATTACTGTATATAGAACGGTATGCCGTAAATAATGATATTCAGTATGTGGCCGATGTTTGGTGGCAAATTGGAAAACTTTATGTATTTGCAACTTATTTTAGAGCGTTTGCTGCTCTGAAGTTTAAAATCAACCTGATTTGTATCCCCGCTCGAAACACCTACAACGTATCGTACTGGGACCACTGGACCAAACACACAGTGTTCCACCAAAACCATCCAAAACCCAGTTTCAATTATAGATTGCACTTGGAAACAAGAAATACATATACCCCCCAAGTCCAACATCAAGACCACTCAGTTTGGTTGACCTTTATAAAGTCGACCCATACCAAGCAATACGGTTGATAAATTGCAGCGTGGGCAAATCTGCCATGTCTTGCTGGATTTTGGCAGGTATAGGGTTCTGAAAAAATAATCTGGGACAAGCATCAGGTTCTGAACATGCCCTTTGTGGCAAAAATGCCCACAGGTAAATACACCAGACTCGGTTCTAATTAATATATATATATATATATAGCTATGGGAACCATGGCCCACAGACATAGATGATAAACAAGACGATTGGAATTTAAGAATGGTGTTTTTCCGGTAACTGTGAACTCATCAGAGGGTCATCCACCATGTGGGGGGTTCACTGGGAGGTTCAATGCCTGGAAGCCAAAAGACTTCGCCCTGGAGGATGGTACAAATGGGGACGTGGTCATTCTTGACAGCATAGTAAGGCATAGCTCTTAGCACATAAATATATACATATATACATATATACATATAATATACATATAATATACATATAATATACATATAATTACACATTTATATATATATATATATATAGCAAACATATATTAGATATGTGATATTATTGATACGCATAGCTTTAAAACATGATATTCATTTAATGGATCAGATCACAAAACTCAATTGCCAACTCTTTACGGTTAGTGGACATGTCTCGTTTCAAAGTTGTTTGGTTCACTTCACATGTTTTTTGAATATATTTATTTTGGATTGTAACATCTCATCGCGATAATTTGTGATTGCTCATTCTTAAAATTTGGGTGAAGGTCGCACATCCCGAAATCAAACAATGTCGCTAGCTATACTTAATGCAAACGCTAGCAATGGAGACTCGACTGGGATACCTTGGGGTTTGAGCCCGTTTAATTACAAAGCTATACAGTGTATATACATATATAATATACAAAGTAAAAATAAATATCATTTTATATATACGGAGTAATATATATATATTTTTTTATACAGATTAAATAGTTATATTTAAATAAATAAATTATATATACAGAGTAATCCCTTTTCTTTAATAACAACTCTATATATATATATATATCCCACATGAACCCCTGGTCTACTGTTG